TGATTCAAGTTTGGTGTTATGGATGGATTGTGGGTGTCTCTGTCCTCCAGTTCATATGCTGGCATTCTAACTACTAGTGTGACGGTATTGGGAGGAAAAGACCTTAGGAGGTGAGCAGGTCATGAAGGTAGAGAACTTGTGAATGAAATCAGTGTCCTCATAATAGAGACTTCAGAGAGCATCCTCATCCCTTCTACCATGTGAGGACACAGGTTCCAACTATGAACCAGGAGCCAGATCTCACCAGACAGACTGTTCGGGGGCTCAGAGTTGGACTTCTTACCCTGTATAACTGTGAGAAAGAAACATTTGTTGTAGAAGCCAAGCCACTCATGGTATTTTTTTTTTTTTAGCAGCCTGGCCAAGACAGTAAATTCAAAACACTATAAATAAAGAAGAAGACATCATTGCAAACATTGAAAACAATGCCGTACTTTGAATACGATTTCCCTGCAAAGGTAGAATCAAGTTTTAGAAAATTCCTGGATGGTCTTAGTGAACTACACCATGGCACTTGAGAAATTCAAGAGGAATTCCAGAGACCAGAGCAGAGAGGCAATGAACAGGGAGATGAGTGTGATTAAAAAGGATGCAAAGACACAACAAACAAGTAGCAGAAATAAAATCTTTGTCAGGATGACAGGGAGGTGCATGAATGTTGAGGAAGACTGTTTTGATCCTGAGGACAAACTGGAGAAGCTGTCTAGGAATCTAAAGGGCCAGGTGGTTAGAAAAAAAGGACCACTAAAAACTATAAAGATACAACCAACAAGTCTCCACTAGCAGTTAAAGTCAATCTAATTATAGTGCACATAAGAATTTACTCAACCTCACAAAACAGGACAAAACCCTGAAAGCATTAACTCAGGATAGCATAATTCTGATGAAAATCACAATTATAAAACTAAATTATTTAAATTGTACTAAAATTTATGAAATATAGCTAATGGAGCACTTAGAAATTTACATCAAATGACTATCATTTAAAAGAAGAAATTTCACAAATAAATGACCTCAGCTTTCAAAACTAGGAGTAACAAATCAAACCCAATGGAAGATGAACCAAAACTGTATTTTGTTTTGGATGGTGTTTGCCCACTTGAACAGCATTATTAAGAATACCAACTGAATATTTGAGATCTATAAAAATATTTAATTCTTTAGAAATATAGGGCCAAGGATCTAGCTCATTGGCTTCTCTCTTGCTTGGAAAGTGCAAGGTCCTGAGTTTGGTCCCCAGTACCAGAAAGAAAAAAAAATATATGTATATATATGTATTATATAAAACTGTTTTTGGCAGATCTTTCTCTACATACATTTTAATATATATGCATTAATGTAGGTATACATGCATATCTCAACCTGAAAGTAATATCCTAAAATTTTAAAGTGTTACTTTCTGCTTGGTCCATTTTATTGATAAGATACATGGGTATAGTAGAACGTTATCAGAGAGTTTTGCTTTGGTCACTACTATTACTGAGTACAAAGTGATACTACATAAATTAAATGTGTATTTCTTCATTATTACTTAGTACAGTTTTATTGCCATAAGCAAATTGAGGAAACTGAGATAATGGAGATCACTGTGCCTCAGTTCAGTTCATTATACTTTTGTGGCTAAGTAATTATTTATTTTTAGGTATAGTTTCAGCAGGAAAATGGCCATGAGTTAATTTTGTTTATTTTTGGCAATGATTACAAATCTACATCAATCAAATGAAAGAGACCTGTGTTTTCTTTAACTAGAATCTCAAGAAATTGTTCTTCTCAAAAATCTAGCAAAACTTTAATTTTTTTCACATATTACTTTGCATTTTGTACAGAGCAATTTAAAGAGTGGAGCTATCAGGGTGGCCAATTTACTCATCCCACCCCACTAACTGAAGAATGATGTAGCAGCCCAAAATATGAATACTTCATACAGTAAGAAACATCAGTATTTAGAAGTGCATTGTTCTTTCCACATCTAATATGTGCCATTATTTCTATTTTTCTTTTTTGGCACGGAGTATTTTATTTAATCTGACTACCAACTCCCTGAGTTTCCTTCGCTGTTTCAAATTCTACTGTTAATGGGAGCCATAGTAAGAACATAGTTATACCTAGGATTCTGTTCTTGCTCTGGGATGGGGGAGATTAATTTTTGCATGTGATCATCCATTATTAAAGTATATTGATGAGAAAGCCCCAATGAAAGGTGCCCCAAGCCATTTAGAAACACTGCCACGACATCAACAACTAAATGCATTCCCTAAATGTTTCATTCTAGTGATTAGTCCTAGAGTGTATTGTAGTGGTTATGGGCGTGAATGAACTTCTTTCCATATCTGACCATGAGTTGTGCATAGTGTTGGTTATATGTGTAATATGATTTTCACCCTGGTGTGATTTTTACTCGCTCTTTTTATATACAATCAAGTCATCCTGCAGATCCATAAAAATAGCTATTTCCTCCTCTGCTTGCAATAGAAAATGATGTGTTTGTAGTTTCAGCAGTGCTCATGCTGTGTGAATAATGTCTACACTTGATCCTGTTGGTGCCTCTTAGTAGAGACAGAAATTTCACATTTGCTTTTAAAAATTTACATGGAACATACAACACTCACTTGTCCATGACTAAAGCAAGCATAATCCGTACCTAAACATAAAAAATTAAAAAGTAAATCAAAAATAAGAAAAACAATTGCATGGAGCAGCTTTTCTTTTATTAGAGAAAAGAAAAAAATGGAAGAACTTGGTTTAACTCTCTATACAGTGACCCTTCTGGGGGGCATTCCTAGAATTAAATTTGATGGCATAGCTCAGAGTCAGTGCTTGCGTTTTCAGTGGGCTGGAGGCCATGGTAATAACAGTTGAGTTTTAACTATGAATATACAGAGATCACAGAGATTCTCATACCTTGTTCAAAGTGCTCCTTTTGAGTTGTTAGCATGCTGGGAACCCTTGAACAGATTTACCACCCCTTCCTTCAGAACACAGCGCTAATGAGAAGAAAACTTAGCGAAAAGAAAGAAGGTAAGTGAGAAGACGTACATAAGTCCTACCTACTTCACTATGTGCTTAATCAGTCCCCAAATAGTTTAATTGAGAGTGGCCAGACTTGGAAACAACAAAATTGATGTTTCCCTTACATGGAGATGGTGTGTCTGGGAAGAAGATGGAGCTAAAGGAAAACTCATTCAAAAAGGATACAGCTGGACTACGGAATTTTGCCACTTTGTCTTTTTGAGGAAAGAGGCAAAGGCAAAATAGGAAAAAACAACAAATATAAATTTGGAAACTTAGTTTGCACTATAAAATAAGAGTTTGCTTTAGAATTTTTTGTGCCGTGAAATTTTGCTCCTTTTGAGGTAATCTTATCGGGAAGTATTACATAAAATGCACGAACTCCTATTCAGGCAATCTGTAGGAAGCCCATGGAAAACTCAATTTTTCCAGTTCCCCAAAAAATAACTGATGAATATTTGTATCTCTTATTTTTTGCACACAACTCTAATCTCTACATTTCTAAGTGTGCTATACTAAGACAACTGATAAGGAATGAAAAATTGTCACACGTATGATGATTTCATTTTCACACAAATTGCCAAATAACTTTCCTGATAAATATTTCACTGAAAAAAAATTTTTTTAAATGAACAGTTTATTAGTCACTGGTTTCCTGCCAAGCAGACATTGTCTTGTAGCTGTCCGTTGCTCTGGTTCATGCTGCCAGAAAATGGTAGATCCAGAGAAATTTCAAAGCACTAGGGAACGAACTGGATGAAGCCTTGAACTTGAAATTTACAGAAAAGTCATAGTATTTGTGAATATGTTTTCTAGGTTGTTTTGATTCAAAAATCGCAGATAGGAAGGCATATTTAAAGAATCTGTGAAAATCAGAGAAATGTTGCATCAGCACAGAATTTAATAACTAGAGATGTAGCAAACCCCAAGGAATGAATGAGATTCGTTTGAAAGGGGAAATCAGGTAGAGAAGTAACCCGTGTTTATGTTGTATTTATACATATGTTGAAACTAAGAGATAAAAATCATGCCCTTTTTTGCTTTTTGATCGCTCATAGCACTTTATCGTTCCTGTATCTCTTGACAGGGGCAATTTCATACTGATATAATGCCAGACTGGTTGAGAGAAAGGTATCTTGAATCACATTCTGTTTTTTCTAGTCAAGTGGGAGCTCATACAGAATCATGACAAATGGCACAGCCAGAATGTCTACTCCAGTATCAACTTCCTGCTCTGTTCATGATGCAGTAATGGTTTGTGATGTTAATATTTATTTTAAAAGCCTGAACTGAGTTAGTTTTGTTTGTCTGATCATTTGTGGGATGAAGAGAAAAACAATACAGAAGCAGCGAGTTGAGAGCAATGGGTATGGGCATAAATAAGTCTAAGGAAAATACACTAAACATGACATTCTTCCAACCTCAGGCCTATGTCCCCAACTACTCAGTCTCCCTTAGCCAGACAACCTAAAGTGTGTTCTGACTGTCTTGTGCCTCTGTAACTGTAATTTCTTCCTATTCTTTGACTAGGATAAGAATAAACAGCCACAAAGCTTCAAACATCTCCCTGATAGTCTAGGAACAGGTGTTTGGTACCTCTTGTTTTTATTGACAGTTTGTCATAAACTGAATTTTGTGCTTTATCCATTACAAAAGTGACCAAGCTGAGTAAGATTCGGATCAGGTAGAAGTTGAAAATAGAGGAAACAATCTTTGATACTCAATTGGAATGCAAGAAAAGCTTTAGGAAAACTGGCACTTTCTGATTTAAAAGGCAAGAAGAAAACAATGACTTTTTGTTGAGAGTACACCTTTTGTTGGATTCCCAAAACTCATTCTCATATCTCCTGAACGTGAAGAGATCATAGATGCAAGTACACTGGGTCCCCTATATTCATGATTGTTGCATCTGTATATTAAACCAACTTCAGATTGAAAATATTTGAAAGTTGTGTCTGTACTGTACATGGAAGACTTTTTATTTTGTCATTATTTTTTAAGCAGTACAATGCAATATAACATTTACATTCTATTTGGTATTATAATAATCAGAGATGATTTAATGTAGTGAGAGGATTGTGAAGCTTTTATGCAAAACTTATGTCACATTATATACAGGAATTGAGCATCTATAGATTTTGGTATCTTCAGGGTCCTGAAATCCACTTCAAATGGATCTGGAGGGACGACTGTATTTGTCTGTGTGACTCCTGTGGATCACAATCACCTCCTAGTTGCAATAAATAATTGGGCAGAATCTACAGCTAATGCTAGGAAGGAGAGTTAAGGGTTGTTTTTCTGGCAATCGCATCTTTGCACAGAATCTTGGAGTGGCATTTTGTTTCCCTTTGTAAAAGTGGGGAAAAAAAGAACTGTAATGAAATGACAAAACAAGGAGAAGGGACAGGAGAGGTTTGTTAGGCTCTGAGATTCTGAGGAGAGAAAATAATGCAATTGTCAGTAAATGCTTGTTAACACTAATAATTTAGAGCAGTTTCCCAAAGATTAGTTTGGATTTATTGTAAGCCTAGCTCAGTAGCAGAGCCATTTGTATTTCTTGCCTATGGGAACAGCTGCTATTTAGTTACTTGATTGGAGAGACTCACATCCCCTTTGCCCTTTCTCCCTGGGCTCCAAAACCGTCTCGCCAGGGAGTTAGAATCACAGCCAGATTCTTCATATCTTATTTCAAGCCAATTTACTGTCCAAACAAGATCCTTAAAACGTGGCACAGACAGTAAGAATATCATTCATCTTTTGCCTACAAATTTGACCTGGCAGGTTGCTGGGGCCTCCCTAGTCTTGAAATAGAGATTCTGTCGCCATAAACGAAGGAGTTCATTGTGTCTCCAAAGCATATCCTAAATCACTCAGTGAAACTTTCCAGATGTTTCTGGTTCATTGGCACATCTGTCCTGACTCCCCAATGCCTTCTGGGAGCCCTAAACAGAACTTTGAATGAACCAGAAACACAGCGTTTGAAGGCAGGTCTCCAGCGCACTACTGGCTCATTTCCATGCTCGCTGGTGCAGGGTTGGTGGAAAGTTATAGGCTATGCAGAGGGAACCAAGCAATGCCATCACACAAAAGAGGAGGCGGAGTGGTGCTGAGGAGGGAATGTTAATGCTCAGAGCCTGGCGATGATTCTCAGCTCGTAGTTGTGCTGTGCACGCATCATCTCGACCTTTCAAGTCGAAGATTCCCTGGTGTCAAGGGGCAACCATTACAAAGATAACCCAGAGCCAAAGTGAACGTCATTTCTTCTCTCCTCTCCAAAACTTAAAAATTCCAAATTTGTTGGATAAATGGTGCAGAACTCTCCAGCTGTCTGTGACTTTGTGAAAGCCGAATCCAGCATTCCTCTTTTTATTTCTCTCTTTCTCAGAGGGTGGATGTAAAATGGTCTGTCTGATATTGGGAACTTTACCTGTCTATAATTCCCTCCACATTCTTGTCTTGGCCTCGTCCATTGTTCTTTAAAAATAGCAAGCTTTTTACCAACTCTAATACTTGGTTCAGTCAAGCTTCCAGACACTTCAGTAATCCCAGAAAATATTCTCATTGCATTTCCGATCACTTGGTATCGTCTGTCTCTGGAACGGGGATGAGCGCTATGTATTTTTGGAGACACGGAAGGTAGGGAAAATACACAAGCTTTAAAATTGGGCTTGTTTTGAATCTAGCTTGGTTCAAACCTATGACCTTAAATGAGCTGTTTATTTATATATATTTACATTTCTAAGCCTTACTCAACTATGAAAAGGGGAGACATAATTGACCAAGAGGGTTGTAAAAATAATCAAATACATGTGTCATTAATATATAAAATAGAGAATGAATTGGACTCAACTCATTTTTGCATTTCTTCCCTATGAATTAAAGCGGTCACTGGCTCTAGATTCTTGGGCATATTCTGAGACTACAGGTTTTGAGCTATTTTTTGTTTCTGTTATGTGTATTCTTCAAAGTATATCTTCGTAGCATATGAGGTGTGATAAAAAACTACAGTAAATGTTGAAATTTAAAAATCATTGCAATAAAAGATGCATCGCCACGAAGGCCCCTCAGAATACCATCCCCTCACCTCAGACACCTTTCTGTCATCGTTCTTACCACTTTCTGAAGTAGGAGTGGAATGTTTCTCTCGTGAGCGTCTTTCATTGCACTGTCCTGGCTGCTTCAGAGTTCTCAGTCCGTTCAGATGTTAACCTTTCGTGGGCGTTTTGACTTTGGGGAAGACCTAAGAGTCACATGCGTCCAGATCTGGTGAACAAGGTCCCTGGGGATGTGCCACGGTGCCATCAGGAGCCCGCTTTCCCCCGGATGGCCCTTGGCGGCACTTGTCATAGTTTTCATCACACCGCGCGAAGACACTCAGAAAGAGATCTCCCAGATCTGCTTCAGAAAAAGGCAAGAGTGATGGGAAAAATCGGTTTGAAGTGAAGGAAACGTGTTTGAAGGAATTATCGGCAATGTATCACTTACTGCAAAAGATTTATAAAACATTCACTGTGTGGTTTAATCACTGCTTGAATACCAGAGATGGAGACAGCTGCCCTGGATTTCGTGGATGGCAGCTCTGCCACATCGACTCTTCTGAGGACTGTTACAGCCATCTCTAAACAAGACTCAAGAAATTTGGGGGCTGCAAAAAGTTACTCAAGGTACCCTGAAACCACGAAAAGCCCTGCACAAAGGCAGCATCCCTTGGTTTTAGAGCTGAAAGTCACCTACTGTGTCGTCTAGACCAGCGGCTTTCTGATGTCTTTGTGACACGCTTTAAGAGGTATCACCTATTCTGATCCAGCACGCAAACATATACGTAATTATATGCACATAACTGAAGGAAAACTTGTAAAAGGATATTTATGCTTACTATGGACAATATTTTCTATTCCATTTCATTTTAAAATAATGTTTGCTAGTGCCCCTAAATTAATTTCCTGGGTGACAATTTTAAAAATGATGATAAACACCCACAGGGCAATATTGAAGATGAAATAGAAATCTAGAACATCTCTTTCTGCTTTATATTTCTGTTTAGTCATCATAAATATAATCCCCATGTTTAGCTTTTACTGATAATATAGTAATATAAACTTGGAAGGGTTTTGATATTAAATTAACGGGTTCTTTATTATGGGCTGAGCCCTAACAAAATTCGTGATGAAGAGAAGACACCACTTTCAGGCACTGATATGAAAGTTTTCCATGTAGTTAGTAGAGTGCTTTAGTCCAGATTTAATAATCAGTGCCTGATCTGCTACCAAAAGTAATGGGTGTGCCTTCAACTTGTGCATAACCCAGTGATATAACAGGCCTGAGTCATGTTTTCTTCAGAATGGGATTTGGAAATATCTTAAAAATAACTCCATATCCTCATTGTTCCTCTGACCACCTGGGCTGATGGCTGAATAAGATAAATTAAATAAAACAAATGCCTCTACAGCTGTTTCTAGCATCACCACACCAGCTCTGGGTTTCTGCCTCTGCCTAGTGACTTGTTTGTTTCTGCTCAAGCTTGGCGTTCTTCTTAATTTCCCCTGAAAGTTGCTGTAATTTTTTAAAAAGCAATTTTATTCCCTAGGAACTGGGAATGAGGACTTTTAGTAGCTGTCATGAGCATAAAATATCATTGAAATACTAAATTATTTTGAAGGTCCATGTATCTGTTAAAATTCCACTCTATATGCAACTTGAAATTATTAGTCACTGGCTTACATTTTTCTTTTGTTGAATTATGCTGTGAATGTCCAAATTCCTGGCACTCCAGTGAATCCTCTTTGTAGAGAATGGAAAAACCCCTGAATTTGGACCCAGGCCAATCTGGGTTTGAATCCAACTTCCATCACTAAGTAACTCTGTGAACAAGGCTTTATTTCTCACATCTTCAGGATCCTCCTAACCAAAAGTGAATAATAAAGTGTTTGTGGGAATTAAATGGAATGATGAATATAAAGAAGTCACATTTTATACAAGGATAATAAATGCAGATTCCACCTCTTCTCTTTCTCTTAGTGAAGTTGCTACAGTGAATGATGTGAAATGCTAATTGTTTCTATTTGTTTTAAAATTAGATTGTCAGATATTCTCTGCACAAGTAGAATGTTATTTTGATAGTTTATAACCCACAGAACATGTAAGGATTTATGATAATAAACTGTGACTTCTAGTGACTTTTCTTATATTAGCATTAGGACTGTAACAAAAACTGGCTAATGGGATGGAATTGACAGGCTCGTCATTGGTGATAAAATGTGCACTTCACACACACGCTTAAGTTTTCTGAGTAATAATTATTGGGTCAAATAGTCCCTAAGAATAGATAAGCTTAATTATTCAGATTTAGTAATTATTACCCATCAAAACTCCAACTGTGATTCTGACACCGAAGTCTATGCAAGGTGATAGCACATCAGTTCCATCCTGCTGGAGGTGACTCGTCGCCATGTTCCCGATCCCAGTGGTCCATTGATTCCAGAGCCACTTTCCTGCCTACCTCATCAAAAGCAAGAGGAAGAGAAAATCATACCTGTGTCCCCAGCTGGGTCAGTCATCTGTGGAGACTTTCTGAAAAGTAAGTTTTCATGCAAGTAAAAAGCTTCGATTCTTATCATGTCAATCAGGTTGATCCCTATTGTGTTTCAGAGGAATAATAAGTAATTCAAGGTCAAAGATAGAATGAAAGGAGGAAGGCTTATTTTAGCTCCATTTATACACATTTCCCCTTTCTTCTTCCAATGTCATAGAGGCAGATAACATGATGTAGCTGGTGCTGTCATGGATTTCAGTGGAGATGATGCTCAGAAACTCTGCCTTTTTTGTTCTGTCCACCTTCTTTTCTGGAGAAGAAATACTATATGGAATGTTATTCAGGTTGTTCCAAGCTTATCATTTCTCATTTAGCCCTCTCTAGATTTATTTTATGTTCTATACAGTGGATTATGTACTGATCTGTGTCTTGTGATCAAATAATTGGTCAATGGAACATTCTCATGATGGAGGAACAGACAGTGAAGATTAGTGAGTTTCCTTTGGTATCCATATCCAGAAATGATCTTTTGTGAGTATAGTGTTGACATTGCTAATCCAGGCTGAAAGGTCAGTGGTGGACTGAGGCCAGGGTGCCTTAAGGAATATAATGATGTGGCAAGCTTTTTCCCCAAGAATATACCAATATAAAGTTAGTAAAGCAAACGGGTATTTTATACATGTAGTACTCAGAGCAAACTCAGATCTTTCCCTTTGCACTGCCAACTTACAGAGTATAAGTAGAGAAATATCTAAAAAACAAAACGTAAAACAGAAAACAAAAACAAAAAAGAAATTCAGAGAATTTCTCAAATATCTTTATGATATTAGGAGGTCAAGCTGCTCCCAGAAAAATGGACATGATAGGCATTGCTCTTCTTTAGAGAAAGGACTGGTGAGAGTGTCAGGCAGCGGAGAACCTGGAATAAGCTGGCGTCAGGGGAGGAAACAGCCAGCAAGAGCACAGCAGGTTCAGCTGGAATCCAACCACTGATATGGCCAGAAGGGCCCTTAACATCAGGAGCGAGAGAGAAGGGCATGGGAAGCAAACTTTGTCCTGTATATCAGTGCTGGTGGGAACCAAGATCAGGGCCACGTATGGTCAAATAAAGTTGCAGAGCAGTTGGTGATAAGACCTGGAAATGGTGGCGGATATGAGTTATGGAGGGGGTAGCATCACTTAGACCATTAATGGAAATGGAAATTTCTTCCTGCTAATGGAAAACTATGCTAGAAATATCAGCTATACAATACTCATACCTATTGGCCTAGCTATCTCTTCTCAGTCTTTGTCACTTTACAGAAATAAAAACACCTAACTATATGGATATGCAAAGTTTACAAGGGATTTAGAAAAGCTTTAGAATTAAATTTAGGATGAAAATAGAAGAATGTTTATTATAGATTATTGTAAGAGTAACTTGTTAAATTCTGAATGTTTGCTGTGGAGGGAATGGTTGAAGGAGCTGTGGTTTGTGCATATAATGAAAAGTTATAGGGACGGTAAAAGAATGAGCTGCATCTATATTTCATGACCTGGAATTATTGGCACACACATACTCTTAAGTAAGTAAAATAAGACAGAAAAAAAATATTTAGACTATGATCCCTTAAGCAAAACCAATACATGCGTATTAGTGTAAATGTGACTCTAAGAACACAGGATGTGAGCACGACTTCTTTGAGGCCATTCATTTTGGTTGGTTTCGGTAGGAAAAGGTAAATGTGGAAATAATAATAATAAATATTTAGTAAGATAAAAAGGAAACCATGACAAAATGTTAAAAAAATGTAGTCTATGGAAATTTTTATGAATTTATTTCCATGTATGCTAGCAACTGATATATTACAAACATGGTAAAATGTGATGGCTTAATAAGAACCAGTAAGTTGGGAGTGCTCTGGGAGTGCTCCTAGAACTCTGAGAGGCTGAGGAAGGAGGATTTTAAGTTCAAGTCCAGCCTGGGCAACTTTGTGAGACCCTATCTTAAAATAATTTTTAAAAACCCATTAAATATTTATCACAAGTCTGTGGGTGGGTTGGTGGTTCTCTTTGTTGGGATAAGGTTTAGTTAATTTAATGTGGGATCAAATAAAATTAATCATCTAAAGAAATCATTTCCAAACGACTTCATTTTACATGTCTTCTGACTTTGTAAAAATAAAATTTTCATCTCTCAACTGACCAGTGATGTTGAACATTTTTTTCATATGTTTATTTGTTATTTCGATTTCTTTGTCTGAGAAGTGTCTGTTCATTTCAGATGCCCATTTTTGATTTGGGCCTTTAAATTTAGGGGTGCAATATTTTTAAGTTCTTTTTATATTCTAGATAATATTCCTTTGTCTGAGGCACAGCTGGTAAAACTTTTTTCCCATATTGTAGGTTGTCTCTTAGCTCTGTTGGTGTTTTCTCTTGCAGTGCAGCTTTTTAATAAGATGAGATCCCAGGTGTTGATTCTTCGTGCTAGTTCCTATGCTACTGAGGTTTTGTTCAAGCAGTCTTTTCCTATGTCAATGTCGTCAAGGGTTCTACCTAACCTATCTTCCAGTGAGTTTAATATTTGTTTTAATATTTAGACCTTTGATCCACTTCAGTTTTTGTTTAGTGCACGGTGAAAGATATGTGTCTACTTTTAATCTTTGGCTGGTTGAAATCCAGTTTTTCCAGCATCACCATTTATCCCCAAATATATACATATTTTTTGTACCAGGGATTGAACTCGGGCCCTTGCCCTTGCAAAGTAGGCACTGGAACAACTGAGCTAAATCCCTGGCCCTTAGCAGCACCATTTCTTAAAGAGGCTATCTTTCCTCCAGTGAGAATGGTTGGCTTTTGCCAAAGATGAGGTAGCTGAGTATGTCTGGAGTTGTTTCTGCATCTTCTCATCTGTTCCACTAATCCTCGGGTCTGTTTCTTTTTTTTTTTTTTTAATTGAGTTTATTGGTACATTTAGGGATACAGTACAGTTACATTCATTGTTGGGATCATGTACCTTTACATGGCAAGTCTTGATTCTCATTTTTTTCCCCTTACCTCTGCCCTCCCTTCACCCCCTCCTCCCCTCCCCACCTACAAACACTTTATTTTCATCTTTTCATTCTCTCACAT